TAAACACCCCAACAACGTAATGCAGTCAAAAAACTAAATCTACCCTCAAAACACAAGACTGAATCCTTTCAACTTTACTTTGTATTGTACTGACGGTGTAAGAATTTCTACGATGGACGATTCACCGATTTTCTGACAAATGACAGCATCTTGTTGAGGATGCGTTGGAACACTTGGAAATCTATGTTTTACTCTTCTATACAATGAACGTAGAATAGATAACTAATAGGAATGAGTTTGCAAATATATTGTGCACATTTGTTTCTTACAGGCAATTGAAATATTGATGGGGACAAGGAGGTCTTTCCCAAACTTTGGTCGTGACTAGTCCGCAATGCAAACCTACGCCTACCTAAACCTAAATGTAAGTATACAAATAACTATGTAAGCTTATATTTGTGAGGAATTAAGGGTGCTGCTGACTTGTGCTTATTCAACATAAACAGTTTTAACTGAAATAATGTTAGTTGTCTTGTCTGTTATTTGTTAATCACAGGCATCATCGTCCACGACTTGCCAGAAGGATGTGAACTTCTTCATTTTGAGGAGGCAAATAAAGAAAACATTTAAACATTAAAACATTTCAGAAATAAATATATTATTTGCAGGAGTTGATGGCCAACCCTTCTTACAAAGCCTTATTCCCAAATCATGAACTCTATTTATTCAAAGGTTTTCCTGTTTTTCCTTGTTGTGTCGATCAAGCATGCTTGTCTCAGTTTGAAAGTATAGACTTTAGCATGGATACAAGTTGCAAGCATAAATTGTCACTCCATCAACCACATAAGTATCAAACTGACTCAGTTGTGTGTCATTAAATAAATGGTCTTAGCCCTTCCTGTAACTTCCTGTAACAAACTGAAGCATTGTAAATGGTGCATTTGTCATCTTTGTTCAGGATCGATTAGCACCAGATTTATTCATGACAGAGGGACTGACTTTACTTGTGTTCTTCCTCGTAATGTTAAACATTGTTCATTGTCAAGTGAGTGCAGCCTAAATCCTTTTTGCATAATGATTTGTTTATTCTCCTCCAACCATTAACAGGTAATCACTTATGACGTCTGTCATCATGCATCCCATATGCATGTAAATGAACACTGGGGAGTTTGTTGTTACGAGCATCGTATTGCTCAGTAAAACAGTGACACTACTGAGTTCACATCAGATTGCTGAAAGGTAATTGAATGAAACATTTTCTTGCTTATCTGTGTCTTCTGGGAGTTTTTCTACATGGTGTCAGAGCTTCTGCTGGAGGGAGATCACGTGTTAGGTGGGGTTTTGGATATTCATCATAGTGTCACAGTTTATCATGACAGACCCAAAGCCATTAACTGCTCCAGGTGAGTTTCTTTATATATCTGTGTAAATAACTAATGGCAAAATTGTGTAACTGAATACTAGGTCAATGGATACTACTATTACGATGATGCTGGGAGTGCATCAACTGAAAGGAAACAGGATGGCCAGCAGCAGGAAGCACATGTGTAATCTGCGGGTGTTGGAGTGGCACGGTGAGATCTTGTATCCTTGACCTTATTCTGTACTTCATCCATAGATCATGCCTACAAACATTAAACTAAAAATAAATAAAACATTTCTGGACACACTTTCACCAGGAAGGTTAAATCTTTGAGTGGTTATTGCATTCTAAAAGGTTTTTAGCAATGGAAAGGCAACAGGTCAATGTTTGTCCGTGTTCTACGATTTACATTTCATGTTTAGCTTTGCCTGAATGTCAAGTGTTTCTGCAAACTCTTTCCTCTCGTGTATTAAACCAGGAAGTGTGGGAAGTGGCTTTGCATCAGTAATGCAGCTGACATTTTCCTATTTTATAATGTGATCTTGTGGTTACGATACTTTTTTTACAACCGAGATAACTAAAGGCACGGAATCATTTATCAGCTGTTTTACCTTACCTACAGAAAATTACATTCAATCGAAAATGCTTCAGCAACTTCAGGCAAAAACATTTTGTTTATTTTGAGTTGTTGTTGAGTGTAATATTTGTATGCTCATATTAAGCTTTTTTTCTAGGGGTTTATTTCATGCAATGAACCTGCATCAATTTCTCATGATTACACCTCCACACTGGCTTCACCACAATGTTAAATTCTACTAATGCGGTGAGACTTTTTTAAACTGAGTGTCTTTCTCGTTCACCAAAGAAAGGCATCGTCATCGCCATGATTTGAGCCTCGACATTTTTCGAGGCCTTCATACCAGTGTAATGTACTTCATCATGCTCTTCTGCATCACCATGAAGAGACAGATCAAGGTAAAAAAAAAAGATACATTGACTGACCCATAAGGCTCTGCAGCTGCTCTAGAGTCAGTGTAATGCATACACTGCATTGCTTGGATTACTCAATGTTTTGGATGTGACAAATGCAAGAGCTGAGAAGCACATAGTTCCATCATGGCCCGTGAACAGGAGCTGTCTAGAAAGTGAGGAACACCAGACTACGCAATGCAAAGTAAACTAAAAAGGATTCAGTCTCTGAATTTTTTTTGTTTTGGTTTGAGCACCTGCCCCCAAAATGTCTCAATTCAAATTTTTGTTTTTGTTTTTTCTTTCAACCATCATACTGTTCCAAAGTGTTTAAATCCATTTCCTTTGATTGATGAAAGCAGAACTGGTAATTTGGGTTCCATATTGAATTGATTAAATGTTTAAATGACTTTATGTTATCGTTTTCCTGCTACAGTTATAAACAAACTTGATTTTACCAACATAAGTGTAATTTTTTTTGTGTCCCTTCAAAATGTACATAGTTGTCTTTGCCTCATAATTTGTAGACGTTAATGGAGTTAAAGGTCAAACAACAAACCTGATCAGAGCTTAAGATGCCTGAACCTTTAATAAACTGAGCTAATTTTTCAAGTTTCATGGCAAATGTTCGCCTACAGATCCAACAGGTCTGTAGATAATGCTGTCAACATGGCCCTCCACTACATCCTCCAGCTGGACTCCCCAGGAACCTACGCCAGGATCCTGTTTGTGGACTTCAGCTCTGCTTTCAACACCATCATCCCGTCTCTGCTGCCGGACAAATTCTCCCAGCTGCACGTGCCCGACTCCACCTGCAAGGTGATCACAGACTTCCTGTCCGATAGGAAGCAGCACGTGAAGCTGGTGAAACATGTCTCAGCCTCCCGGACCATCAGCACCGGTTCCTCCCAAAGCTGCGTTCTTTCCCCTCTGCTCTTCTCCCTGTACACCAACAGCTGCACCTCCAGTCACCAGTCCGTCAAGCTCCTGAAGTTTGCGGATGACACCACCCTCATTGGACTGATCTCTGGTGGGGATGAGTCCACCTGCAGGTGTGAGTCTGACCATCTGGTGACGTGGTGCAGCCACAACAACCTGGAGCTCAACGCTCTAAAGACAGTGGAGATGGTTGTGGATTTCAGGAGGAACAGAGCCCCACCTTCCCCCATCACCCTGTGTGACTCCCCCGTCACTATTGTGGATTCCTTCCGTTTCCTGGGCTCCATCATCACCCAGGACCTCCAGTGGGAGCTGAACATCAGCTCCAGCACCAAGAAGGCTCAGCAGAGGTTACATCACATTACATGTCATTTAGCGGACGCTTTTATCCAAAGCGACGTACAATAAGTGCATTCAACCATAGGGTACAAACTCAGGAGAACAAGAAACAAGAAAGTGCAATTTCCTCAAATAAGTCAATTTACAATTTGCTATAGATGAGTGACGTTACAAGTACAATTTAAGTGCTACAATTTGTTAGTCTTTAGTCGAGGTAGAGTCTGAAGAGGTGTGTCTTTAGTTTGCGGTGGAAGATGTGGAGGCTCTCTGCGGTCCTGGTGTCTTCAGAGAGCTCGTTCCACCATTTCGGCGCAAGGACAGCAAAGAGTCGAGATCTAGTCGAGTGTTTTGCTCTCAGTGAGGGAGGGACGAGTAGTTTTGCAGATGCAGAGCGGAGAGTGCGGGTTGGGATGTAGGGTTTGACCATGTCCTGGATGTAAGCTGGACCTGATTCATTCACAGCATGGTACGAGAGCACCAATGTTTTGAACTGGATGCGGGCGGCCACCGGTAGCCAGTGAAGAGAGTGGAGGAGTGGAGTAGTGTGGGAGAATTTCGGAAGGTTGAAGACCAGTCGAGCTGCTGCATTCTGAATGAGCTGCAGAGGTTGAATGGCGGTGGCAGGGAGACCAGCCAGGAGGGAGTTGCAGTAGTCCAGGCGGGTCAGTACCTACGCTGCCTTCTGAGTGAGAAGGGGACGTATTCTCCTGATGTTGTAGAGCGTGCATCTACAGGATCGCGTTGTCGCGGTGATGTTGGGAGTCAGGGAGAGTTGGCTGTCGAGTGTGACGCCGAGGTTCTTAGCGGTCAAAGTGGGCGTTAGTACGGAGTTTCCGGAGGTTGTTCTTCCTGTGGCAGCAGAGGAAATTCAACCTGACAAAGACGATGATGGTCCACTTCTACACGGCCATCATGGAGTCCATCCTCCTCTCCTCCATCACCGTCTGGTACGCTGCAGCCACAGCCAAGGACAAGGGCAGGCTGCAGCGTGTCATCCGCTCTGCAGAGAGGGTGATCGGCTGCAATCTGCCGTCTCTCCAGAACTTGTTCGCTTCTAGGACCATGAAGCGAGCTAAAAAGATCGTAGCCGACCCCTCTCACCCCAGACAAAACCTGTTTGTGCCCCTTCCATCTGGCAGGAGGGTGAGGTCCATCAGGACTAAGACCTCCCGCCACACGAACAGTTTCTTCCAGTCAGCAGTCGGGCTCATCAACAGAGCCCGGTCCCCCACTGACTGACTCTGACATTCCACCCGTCACTTTCTTTCCCACTGCACACGTCACTTACACTTTTATTGCTTTATTTTTAATCTAACCCATAGCCTTATACTACTAACCCATAGCATTATATTTTATTTTATTTCTCGTGCACTGTTGTCTTGCCGTCCATTGTCGTATTGTCTGCTGTTACGCACCAACCACCAAGTCAAATTCTTTGTATGTCTGACATATTATGGCAGTAAATGTTTCCTGTTTCCTGTTCCGAATACTTGAGGGCAATATGATCTTTTAGTTTTCATGAATGTGCAAAATATGGATCAGGGCAAAATGAAATGTAAGAAAAGAAAAGGACTGAATGTTTGAATGCACTGTGCCACAGAGGAGGTCAGATTATTTTTGCATGCTGATTTGTGTATTCTTCTTCATTTGGTACTTCTGATATGCGCTTCAATTTCATTTTTCGCATTGGATTGCTGAACGGTAGCTTCACCAGCACAATGAAACCCTTCTTTATTTCTCTGCTTCTCCTGGAGTTTTTTCTACATGAATCGGCTCAATGCACCGTCCAAGCCTCAGAGTTTCACCTGGAAGGAGATTATTTGTTGGCTGGACTTTTCAACATTCACCATGATAGTTCTCCTGTTGTACAAGACCGACCAGAAGCCGTTGACTGCTCCGGGTGAGTCTTACAAAGTCTAGATGAAAATCTTCTGCGGTTGATAATAATAAAATCCTTATGCTAACACAGATCAAACATTTCCTTAAGCTTTAGGTCAGGTGATAGAGCTCGTAACATTTACAGGTTTAATGAGCCTTTCGCAGTTTCACTGTACTGTCAGGGTGTACTTTGACGTGTTTGGGTTTAAGATCAGGGATCTAATCACCCCTCCAGGTTGTGACAATCGCAATGTGAGACTGATTCCCACATTCTCTTACTTTCCTTCCTCTATCTGCAGTAAACCCTTCATTCTTTCAAGTTATCGGAGGTTTCAGTTGATGAGATTCTCTGTAGAGGAAATCAATAACTCCACCGACCTCCTGCCAAATGTGTCTCTCGGATATGAGATATTTGACCACTGCTCAGATATACACAGTTTTCCAATCATCTTTAAACTTCTCTCCGTTGATGGCTTGATCCAACCTTGGGCTGAACCACCCAAGAATCTGTCCAAAGTCATGGCTGTGGTCGGCACTTATACGAGCACTCAGGCACTGACTGTCGCCCCGCTGTTCATGATGGATCTCATTCCGATGGTAAATCATCCAAATACATTCAGTTATACCAACATGTTATCATACATTTAACAAAATTCAAGCAGCTTCTCAATGTATCACTAAAATAACGACTATTTATTGCTCTTAAAATATACATGCTCGAATCTATGAATTGTAAAGTGAGTTTTAATGTTACATTTGAGAATTTGTCACTGTACATTATTCTTTTTTGACAGGTCAGTTACGCAGCTTCAAGTACGGTATTTTCAAGAAAACAGAATTTCCCCTCTTTCCTACGAACAGTTCATCCCAATAAAGACGTCATAGAAGTGATTGTTAATATTATGCAACACTTCAACTGGAGCTGGGTCGCATTCCTTCACATTGATGATAATTATGGAAACGATGGCCGGGAATTGTTCATAAAGAAAATTGATGGCACTGAGATTTGCCTGGCATACACCAAAGGCCTTGATCAACATACTAATTATTCACAAGTATTCAGACAGATAGAGGCACAAAAAATAACCACTATTATTGTTTTTGCTCCTGAATGGACTGCTGAAGCTCTCATTAAATCAGCAATACAACAGAACGTCACCAACAAGGTGTGGATAGCAGGAGATGGATGGTCCTTAAACAAGGAGCTCCCCAAAGAGAAAGGAATACATAATATTGGTACTATACTTGGGGTCTCTGAACCAAAGGTTACAATACCTGGTTTCAGTGATTTTATCCATCATTCCAAAGGCCAGACTCACTGTGAAAATGCAAAACAAAGTATGTTTTGCAATCAGGTTTGCAACTCCAGCAGCCTGAAACCAGAAGAAATCCTCAATGTGGATCCATCTTTTAATTTTCCTGTTTATGCTGCTGTACATGCCATCGCCCATGCCTTACACAATACCTTGCAATGTGACTCAGGCAGATGTAACAGGAATATTACAGCGTACCCATACATGGTGAGTATAAACATAATATGATCAATTAGTCTTTTACTCTGTTTGATGTAAATGTATTTTACGTATCTCTTTTAAAACATCACCTAATCCAAAGTGTTATAAACAAAAGGTTCTCTGAACTTGTGTGTCAACATCAGGTTCTAGCAGAGCTGAAGAAGTCAAACTTTACACTTTTAAATCAAAGTGTCACATTTGATGAGAATGGTGACCCCAACTATGGATCCTATTCTATAGTTTTCTGGAACCAAAGCGGTGACGCACAGGAGATTGGCTTTCATAACTTTTACCCAAACTTGTATTTCTTCATCGACAACAGCAAAATTCAGTGGAAGACAAAGGAAGTAAGTTGATTTTTTCCGCAAAAATACTTTATATTGTTTTATTTTCCAGCTTCTGCAGGGATGTGCGTGTGTGGATGAGTGTGCATGTGCACATTTATTTAGTAATAATGCTGAACATTAACCAACATTGGTTGGTGCATGGAGTCGTTTGCAGGGGCATTCAGATGTTGTGTTCAATATTGATCGCATGTGACAAACCCCGTTAACAATTTAAATGCTTTATGAGTCTAAACACTGTAATTTGCCTGCACTCCTTGCTGTGTAACATTGCACTCGTCCTCACTCGGGTTGTAAAGAATTGTCTTGTACAGGTGCCTACTTCACGGTGTTCCCAAGAATGTGATGAAGGATCCAAAAAAATGCCAGATGGAATCCACAGATGCTGTTTCAAATGTGAAATCTGTCCAAAGGGCACTTATTTCAACAAAACAGGTAAATAACTTTCCGACTTTTAAACTTGTTTATGGCTGACTGTGATTCCCCATTGGAAGCAAGACAGAAGCAACATGTGAGCAACGTGTCATTCAATCCACGCTTACTCCATCTTTCCACCTGGGAAGTTGAGTGCACAGCTGCTGCCAACTTACCTTCCTGAGAATAGGGTGTATCTGCAGACTCTGAGCAGGTGCTAACTGTCAAATACATATTTAAATAGCCAAAACACAATTTCATCATCAGGCCACCTGAACTACAACCTACAACTTAAAGTCGTAGGTTCCCAAATATCGTTCTATACGGTTTAGTGCAATACAGACTTCTGTTTTTTAGATTAAACTGTATGATACAGCAGGGTAAAAATAAATATTCTATTTACTGGTCTTCTTTTAGCCACAGAGGACTATTTAATATTGACTCAACTTCAATGTAAATCTGTCCTTCTCTGGTGTTGAACAGAAGATCCCTACGAGTGCATCAACTGTAAGGAAACAGAATGGTCTGCAGCAGGAAGCACATCATGTAATCTGCGGGAGTTGGAGTTTGTCCCATTCACAGACATTGGTGCCATACTGATCATGGTGGGAGCCTGGGCCTTGGTGGTCCTCACAGTAGCCATGTCCGTTCTCTTTGCCATTAACTACAACACACCTGTCGTCCGATCTGCAGGGGGGCCGATGTGCTTCCTCATTTTTGGCTGCCTGTGTCTGTCTAATGTCAGTGTGTTCTTTTACTTTGGTAAGCCCACCGGTTCTTCTTGTGTCATGAGACTCTTACCATTTCTCTTGTTTTACACCGTTTGTCTATCATGTTTTGTGGTGCGATCTTTCCAAATTGTTTTCATTTTCAAAATAGCTGCCAAGTTCCCAAAGCTCCACAGTGTGTGGATAAAGTATCATGGACAGTGGCTGTTCATCACAATGATATTTGTTACTCAGGCACTCTTACTTCTTTTTGGCTATGCATTTGCACCTTGCAATCCCCACAATGAAACCTCTTGGTACCCAGACAAAACCATCCTTGTTTGTGAGATGAATATCAAAGCATCCATTGGTCCTGTGGTTTTACTTGTATCTCTGTGCTTCCTTTGCTTTGTTTTCTCATACATGGGCAAAGACCTTCCTAAAAATTACAATGAAGCCAAAGCAATAACCTTTTGCCTGCTCCTGCTGATCCTCACATGGATCATCTTTGCCACTGGATTCTTACTTTACAGGAGCAAGGACATCCAGACACTTAACGCCCTGGCAATACTCTCAAGTCTCTACTCCTTTCTGTTGTGGTATTTCATGCCAAAATGCTACATCATCATTTTCCAATCCCACAGAAACACGCAAGAGTATTTCCAAGGTCTCATTCAGAATTATACCACCAGAAAGTAGCAGCTACCAGTAAATGTGTGTCTGGTTTATAGAGGACAAGAAATATGGTTCAGGAGTCTTATTTAAATCTAATTCTAATTTAATTTTTGTAGAAATGCACACAGTTGTTTAAATACATTCCTCTTTTGTTGCACTGTAATAAGGTTGATTGCTTATTTGGTGTTTTTTGCTCATGGGTTCAGGAATCTTGAAATGAACTATACAGCATAGACTCCTGCTGTGTTAGAATCTACAGTCATGCCAGGGTCTTTGTGGCATAGTATAGACTTATAGGTAAAGCAGTGCCTTGAGCTAAATGCTACTGTATAACATACTAGCAGTACAAAGCTGCATGGAGCAGGTATATTTGATGGCCAACCCAGAAGATAGGATTCCCCTGGTTCCCTTAAAAAAGAGCCAATGGGATTTTTGGAATTTAAGTTTGGATTACTGCAGAAAGAAAACTGAAACAAAGAAAACTTTATGATGATTTTGTTCACACATTCACACATGGCCAATTAATGGAGCAATAACATTAGAAACCACTTGTGAGCAAACACCTTTTTCAGTCAATTGAAAACTAACAAACAAACACTATGCTTACGTATACTTCAAAAGCTCTCTCCATCATGATGTAACTGACTGCAGCTACCAGCCATTTCGTTTCGTACGTTAACTACATTTAAATATTTTGGCCACATTACAGTTTTTTTCAATCGCTAACAAGCGTTTGTCCAAACAGTTTTCACATTTTCAAAACTCTAAACACAATTAGCACAGCATCGGTGTTTTGTGGCCATACCATTCACACATTTCATGTTGTTTTCACACAATATGCAGTCAGTGAACACATGTCCACAATGCTTACATTTTTCTTAACAGACAAGCCATACCTCCCAACAAAACGATGGATTGTTTTAGTAGTATTCACAAATGTTAACACACACCGTCCCACAATAGCAAAAACAATATTCCAAACCGTAGATACAGTATAAAAACCTCTGCTTCTGCAATGATATCAGTTCAAAAACAATGTATCTTAGCTGATAATGAACGAACTATTGAATAATTGACAACTGATTTATGTTGGTAAATCAACAACAGCTGATTCCAGTCTGGCTTATTTAAGGAGGACTTTGAGGAGTGATGTTTTTGGAAACAGAAACAGAAAAGGCAAACACTGTAATGTCTGGACGAGGAAGAGGAAGAGCAAGGGGCCCAGGGAGAAGACCAGGTCCAGTGAGAGGTGCAGGTGAAGAAGGAGGTGCAGGTGCAGTGAGAGGAAGAGTAAGAGGTGCAGGTCCAGTGAGAGATGTAGAAGGAGGTGCAGTGAGAGGTGCAGGTGCAGGAAGAGGAGTTCTTTTCTGCATGGAGGTGGAAGGTTTATGACCATCAGCCACATGACCAGATGTCCCTCCTTGAAGCCATAGATGCTGGCTGCAGGGACATCACAGTTCAAGATTGCCAAGGGTGGATCCGACATGCCAAGCACTTTTATCCCAGGTGCATCGCCTTAGATGATGTCAGATGTGATGTTGACAAAAACATGTGGCCGAACCTGAAGATTGCAGGGATTAGATGCATACATTGTTTGCCATTTTTAGTTCCCCCCTTTTCATTTGGGCTTTTGGCTGTTTTTTTTCTTTTCAGAATGCTCGTGTGTTTCATGGATATTTTGTTAAAATAAAATAAACCTTTTCTGTTCTATTATACTGTTTCTACTGTACCTTCTTTGGTAAACAGTTAAGAAAAAATAACTGATTTGCTTTTTACTGGAATGCGTTTGAATGTGAACATTACTGTACATGTGCGCATACAGTTCCAAACCAATACATATAGTGTAAATGGTGGATTGCATGTTACCTGAAACATAAAAGTCTATGCAATTTTTATAATGTCAACAATAGCCAGAATTTTGAAACCTGGTGTACTTCGTTTGACTGCATGTACCTTGTGAAGTGAAAACAAATGTTATTCTTTGACAGAATAATTTCATTTTGAGTCAGATTTCCAGTGTTTTGGTAAAAATAGTGTGTGCAGAGAAAGATGTGTTCTGTTTTGAAATTAAGAGTTAGTATATATTTAACAAAATGTGTTTTTGAGAAGAAAATTATCAATTTGGCCAATTGCGTCTTGTAGGTGTGAGTCTGTGTTAAGAGTTTAGAAAAAATTTCTGAAGTATGGGTAAGTGCTTGTTAGCGATTGAAAAAAACTGTAATTGCATAGATTGACGCGTTTATGTTGACAGCCCTAAAAAAAACATTCACCTTTAGACAAGGGAACTTTTTCTATGTAGCTTCAAAAGCAAAAGTCCACTGATACTTATTGGAATGTCATTACAGTGCAAGTATTATGCTTTTACTGTAAAGGATTGAAGAAGCTAGTGAATAAGGTCTCCCCAAATCTCTCACCAACACTCTCACCTTGTCACCTCACACAGAGAGTGTGTAAAACTATGTACTGCACCATACAAAACCTGTATAGTTGTTATAGAGGTTGTTAAATCAAAAATGTTGGCACTTTACTGTGATGCTAGTAAGCCAGACTACAGGTACACCATAAATACACTGTGTAAATCATTTTTAACTTATCTTTAAGTTTTGCTTTAAGTGAACTTTAATCACTTCAGTAGAAAATAAAGATTCTTTGAATGGCCATTTTATGCTTCCTCTTTTTTCTGCATGTGTGTAACATTAATGTTTCTGCAGCTTCATGTAGACATGTAAGATCTATTTTTGAAAAAAGGATGTCATTATATCTTAATTTAACGTGAGTTGCACACAAGAGCATGCTGTACACATTTAATGGGTTTCTCAAGTAAGATTAAGACCTCTACCCTATTGCAACTTCATCTAATAAATGCTTCACTTATTTATTCACCCACACTGTAACATCATACTCATAATAAAATCTTTTCCAATCGTATAAGTTCTGTAGTGACTTAGGTTGTCATTTTACAGCTGTAAAAACATTAACATTACAAAACACGTAATTTGTGACATTAACTTTTATTAGTATTTTTTCTTTACCAAATGAAGCTCTAAGTTCCGACAGGACGACTAAACCCATGTATGCGTAAGCCTGGGGCTTATTTCTCATACCTCACTACAACCATATGATGCAACGTGAGACGCAGGTTAGTAACGTTGTCCATTTGTTGTTACAGTGCTGAGTCATGTAGACGACATAAAACAACCAAGTTCAAAGTATTACTTTATTAACAAGGTTGCAACATGAATTGCTAACAGTTACTTGATCCCATCCCCATCCCTTCCTACTCAGCAGAACCCAGCAGAATGAGTTTGACCTTTGCATCCCGAGGTTGCCTGATTTCAAACTTTGTCATACGCAGAGGGATGCAAATTATCTCCTTTCCATTATCGACCAACTCAGTGGTCATAGCTAAAGTCACGTAGAGCTCATTTGTAAGGGGACGTAGCATTTTAGCATAAACCACAAATACATGGTTAAAAATGTTGAATAATTTGTGTGTATTTGCTTGTGACCCTGTGTGATGGTATAAGCTCTTCAGCACTTCAATTTGACTTCTTTCATGTCATTTACAGATCATCTATTATCTAATATTCACATTTTTAGACTTCAGAAAATGTCCCTTTGGGTATGGAATGCCGTTTTAGTCAAAATTAAATAAATGAATAAATACATAAAATATGCATTTGAAATACATCATGAAATAAATAAATGAGGCAATAAATACATAAACATTAAATACATTTAATTAGTTTTTTTAAATCGCTAACAAGCACCCATACTTCAGAAATTTTTTCTAAACTCTTAACACAGACTCACGCCTACAAGACGCAATTGGCCAAATTGATCATTTTCTTCTCAAAAACACATTTTTTTAAATATATACTAACTCTTAATTTCAAAACAGAACACATCTTTCTCTGCACACAATTTTTACCAAAACACTGGAAATCTGACTCAAAATGAAATGATTCTGTCAAAGAACAACATTTGTTTTCACTTCACAAGGTACATGCAGTCAAACGAAGTACACCAGGTTTCAAAATTCTGGCTATTGTTGACATTATAAAAATTGCATAGACTTTTATGTTTCAGGTAACATGCAATCCACCATTTACACTAAATGTATTGGTTTGGAACTGTATTGTCAAGGGAGCGGGTGGGAGGCAAGAACTCAAACGCAAAGTTTTCCAAATACAAAAAAGACTTTAATAGTCATGTCAAATTCCAGGGGCAAAAACACTCAGGCATGAAACTATGGGCATCCAAGACAAAATTACAGGACAAGGACATGCGTGGCAAAAGACAATGACGCGACAAGTGACACAGGAGACACATGGCTTAAATACACAAGGGAGGTGCAGGTGATTGGACACAGGTGGAAACTATTAGACGATCACAGGGGATGACGGGACAAGGCAGGAAGTGAAGTTACCCGGGGACACGAGTGGCAGAAAACTACAAAATACAACAGGAAGTGAAACCACACCGTGACAGTACCCCCCCCCTCAAGGACCGACTTCCAGGCGGCTCACACTAAAGCAAAACAAGGGGTGGGGGGGCAGGGAAACCAGAGACGTTGGTCGGACCACCCGGGAAACTCTGGCGGGCGGCCCGGCGGGTGGGCAGACGAGCGGGGAGCCTCTGGGGGTCGGCCCGGCGGGCGGTCACCAAGCCGGCTCCGGAGCGGCGACTGCAGGGCACGGAACGTCTCTAGAATGGCAGGCTCGGGGACACGGGAAACCTCCGCGGTTGTCGCGGTCGGCTCGGGGACACGGAACACCTCCGCGTTGTCGCCGTCGGCTCGGGGACACGGAACACCT